ATAATTCTGTTAAATTTGGTCTCAGCAAAAATTCCTTCCTTTACTACCATCTACACATTAAGGTTGTTCATCCCTGGAAGTTTAAGCAAAATCTGCCATCCGGTTTAAGAGGAGTTGCGTTCACAAAATTTCTCTATGGTATATAGTGAAAAAATCAACAAAGGGCCAGCATTCAGTTAAATTTGGTTGCAGCAAAAATTCCTTCCTTTACTGCCATCTACACATTAAGGTTGATCATCCCATAAAGTTTAAGCAAAATCTGCCATCCGGTTTAAGAGGAGTTGCGTTCACAAAATTTCTATGTGGTATATAGTGAAAAAATCAACAAAGGGCCATAATTCTGTTAAATTTGGTTGCAGCAAAAATTCCTTCCTTTACTACCATCTACACATTAAGGTTGATCATCCCTGGAAGTTTAAGCAAAATTTGCCATCCGGTTTAAGAGGAGTTGCGTTCACAAAATTTCTATATGGTATATGGTGAAAAAAATCAACAAAGGGCCATAATTCTGTTAAATTTGGTCGCAGCAAAAATTCCTTCCTTTACTACCATCTACACATTAAGGTTGATCATCCCTGTAAGTTTAAGCAAAATCTGCCATCCGGTTTAGGAGGAGTTGCGTTCACAAGATTTTGGGACGTACGGACGGATGTCCGGCCGAAATGGAATAAGGAGCCATTTCTTTTGTTATTTTCTATTGTTTTATAGAGGGCCAATGGCCCCTTACTCTATTGTTACGGAATGAACTCTATTGTTCTCTTTTGTTCTGTTTACAGTTAGATGGCCCCCTATCCCTTTTCGGTAGTGCGGACTGACGGACGGACGGACAAGTGCAACGCTATATGCTCCCACATTGTGGGGGCATAATTAGTATGTTAAAGCTGCAGATGACCCAAAAATTTCAAGGAAATCAACTTTGAGGAAAATGAACTTAGACTTTAATAGGTAAAAATATTCAAAATTCAAGTAATGATGTACATATATGCAATGAATGACTGATTATTTAGTATTCATCACCATATTTCTATGTGTGTAACTATTTTTGCATATTTTGACTTTTATTTGGTAAATTTACATAGACTGAAACATACCGTTTGCAATAAGCAAATTACTGTCTTTGTTCACTTGACAATATCTTATTCTTTTAATAAACTTTCAAAATTTTGATAAAAATTAGCATGAATCTACAGGCCTGCTGCTTTAATTCAGCATGCCTCCAGATCATGAAAATTTTGTTAAACATTAACATTTTAACTTTACATCTTACGTTATATAAATAAGTCCTTAATGCCACTTCCCATAAATGTTGCATTTCCAGGGTACCTCTGAAAATACCTCGAGAGACTCTTATCTCCAGCTCATTACACTACAATCATTAGTTAGTTAATTCAATTCCCTTCATTTTTTAATTTAAAATGGAAAACAAAATTTACATCTTATTGTATCAATTATATACAGGAAAAATGCTTGACTCTCATTGAAGTAATGCATGTCATATAGACACATCAGATTAAAATATACCCTGACATAAATACAGGCAGTTCATAACAAAAATAAAATAGTTTAAAAGTTATAAAACATTCAGACATCGCTAAAAACAAAATCTTGATCATGAAAAAAACTTTTCCCATGAAAACAAAAATCCAAGAAGCAGCACCAGGGCAAGTCTAATGTGACTGTTTTTGAAAAAAAATTTACCCGTGAAAAGCAATGAAAATTATTCTCTTTTCTTTTTACATCTGATAGCACAGAAGGTGACATCAAGGTATTTAAAGACCTAGTCTGTGAAATTCATGTATACACAATGAGATTTCTGAGATAATGTTAATGTTGAGCTCTATTTACAATTAAGTATGGTCAGATCAATTCATTCACAAAACACAGAGAAAACATAGTTACCGTGAGGAATCAAAAGCATTTCTTACAATTTAATATTGATCTACACTCACGAACCAGTCTTTTTCAATTATATTTCAATCAATTTCTTCTCAAAGTTCTGATTATTGTAACACAATTTGAGAGGTAACAGGTTGTGTAAATTTTAATGAATTTAAAGATAAACACAGTCATCAATTAACAATTGACTCAACAGTAAAAAATTACTTACGTCTTCGAGTTAAAAATGCAAAACAAGGTATTCTAAAGTCCTCGGAACAGTTTAATCTACATTGTATAATGATAATACTAAACAATTTAATGATGTAGCCTGAAACAGATATTCTTGTAAGAACATACAATTACAAACTGTATGTTTTTGCTGTTACAACATTTGTATAAATGAAACTTTTCATATAAATCTTAAACACTTTCACTGTGAGTTTGCTGGCGGTGTCTTTATCTACCCAGACCACCAATGGCAATGAAGACCAAGATCAGCCAGCACTTCCTTGCCTTTCTATCATGGTCTGCACTGTTTGCTATTCAGGCAGTACATATTTTGAAAGTTTCCCTAAAGATGATGAATGGTTTTGTCCAAACTGAAGGATGGACAATTCCATTTAAGATATAAAGCATGGTAAGGGTTAATGAAATTAGCTGTTAAGAGTTTTATGTCTAAACATGTTTAATTTTATAATGTAAAAACCAATCGATGAAAATACATTCAATGCCCCTAGCTATTATAACTATACATCATAGTTCCGACATTTTATTTTGCTTATATATCTTTATATGACTCAATTATACTCAGCAGTATACTAGTATAGAAGTTGGCATATTTTACCCTTACCATTTGATTACCCGTGTCTAACTAAATGATTTAGACATTCTGAGAATAATAGCTGAAAAAAATATCCTATTAATTTAAAGAACATGTGTAATTGCAAAAATTACTAACGACCAAATTCACGTAATACCTTATAATCACAGCTGTTACTTTAATTATAACAAGAGCGATCAGTAATCACATGTGTCGCCTCATGATGGCCAATTTCATGTTGGGACAAAGTTTGTGACAGACGGACAGACAGACGGACAGTGCACAACTAGACTTGGTACTGATCATTCCTGTAAAGTTTGGATAAAATTGCACCAGTAGTTTATGAGGAGTAGTCCGGACAAGCTTTTGCGTATCTGGCAACACACAGAAAAAACACCTTTTGATCAAAGGGCCATAACTCAGGCAAAAATCATTCAACCGGAAAACCCGTGCAATATGCACAAGCACTTGAGCTACAGATCAATCCTGTAAAGTTTCATTGAAATTGCTTTAGTGGTATAAGAGAAGTAGTCCAGACAAACTTTAAAAATAAAAATTATTCAAGGGCCATAACTCTGACAAAAATCATTGAACCGGAAATTGTGATAATATGCACAACTACACTTGGTACTGATCATTCCTGTAAAGTTTGGATGAAATTGCACCAGTAGTTTATGAGGAGTAGTCCGGACAAGCTTTTGTGTATCTGGCAACACACAGAAAAAAAACACCCTTTTATCAAAGGGCCATAACTCGGCCAAAAATCATTCAACCAGAAAACCCGTGCAATATGCGCAAGCACTTGAGCTACAGATCAATCCTGTAAAGTTTCATTGAAATTGCATAAGTGGTATAAGAGAAGTAGTCCGGACAAACTTTAAAATAAAAAATTATTAAAGGGCCATAACTCTGCCAAAAATCATTGAACCGGAAAATGCTGACAATATGCACAACTACACTTGGTACTGATCATTCCTGTAAAGTTTGGATGAAATTGCACCAGTAGTTTATGAGGAGTAGTCCGGACAAGTTTTGTGACGGACAGACAGACGACGGAGAAGTGATCCCTATATGTCGCCACTACTCCGTAGAGGCGACACAAAAACAGTGAATAGATATCTGAACTAACAAGATTTCTTTTTAAGGAACCCAGATGTGTGTTTGCCACCACCACAGTACTTTCTCAAAAAATGACATCACAGTTGGAAACACACTCTTATGTGACAAAATTGTACTAAAAACAGGAATGATGAAAGAACTGCTAAAAGTGCAAGCGGCTTCTGATTAACATTACCAGAAATTAGATGATATTTACCGATTCGTTCATTTGAGTGTGTAACTTGTAACAAGCAATCTAATAAAGCTTTGTTAGTCAATTGCATAACTATCTATTAAATCAATCCATTTGACAGTAAGGAAGTATGCATTTTGTAAATGAAGTGAAACAAAAACCTGCAATAAGTATCAGCAAACACCGAGGAAGAGATATCACATACAAGCACACTGATAACATATTATATATTATTGGTGTGTATTAGTGTTGTCACTATCACTTGATTCATGACTGTCATTTGCGTATCTATTGTCTTGCTCCGGTAAAGAATTGAGAGAATCATCAGCTGGGTTACTCGATGCCATGGCAATAATCTCATCATCGTCGTCATCATCATCATCGTGTAAAATATTAACATTGAATTCATCAATAACGGGACCAGTGTCTGAATACATCATGTAATGTTCGTCATAATCCTCGAAATTATCGTCGTAAAAATTTTCATTGTCCGAGTTCTCGCGATCACTTCCATTATCCTCGGCTTGATCATCTTGTTCAAAATACCCGTTTAAAAGAACATCGCCATTATTACCATCTACGTCTGGCGCCACTTCAATCACAGGTCCTACACTGTTATCTATAGTCCCGCTTTCATTAATTAAACTATTATCCATTATAAGTTGTTGATTATTATTCTGACCTACTTGATCATCATAGTAATGTTCTAAATCAGGATTTTCTGTTTCCTCATCTTCATCGTCGTCGTCATTATTATCATCCATATCCTCCTCATTCCATTCACCCATTTCACGAGCTATACTTCGATACCTCGTCTCTCGTAAAACACCTTTCGCTCGCAATGTCTTTGGATGTTCTGGCCCGAGAATTTCCTCACTTACTCTTGCCCACTTTTTAAAATATTCATAAGCTTTTTTGTAGTTGTTGTTGTCTTCGTAAACAATTCCAATATTGATATACAGTCTTGAGGTAAGAATATGGTATTCACCATACATTTGCATGCACAGATCCATTGCCTGATTATACAACTGCAATAAAATCAATAAACTAGGATATTAAAGAATCCAAAGATTTCAAAATAGAAAAAATATTTTGGTAAGTATTTCAAGATTCAAAGATGTTGTATAATACGTTATTAATTGCCAGTGTGCTTATCAGCAGTATCTATTCAAATCCAGATAATAAAGATCTAGAAAATCTTGTTTTTTTCAGGTTTAGGTAAAATTATTCATAGTCCTTTTCATCTTGGTAAACCCACCCACCTTCTCTTCTTGGTAAAAACACTCATCTTTTTTTATCTTGGTAAAACCACCAACCTTTTTATCTTTGTTCAACAACTTGCCTTTTTTTACAATGTCATAAAGTCCCATATTTGATTTAACTGTAGAGACAGATGTACAGAACGTTTTTGAAAGTATAAATAAAAACTTCAGACCTTTAATTGTTCCATACAACCTCTTGGAGCCAGCACACCTTTGGTCATTAATGCTTCTGCATAGTGACCTTGATCATTTAACTGTAAAAAACATATTTATTTAAAATAGAAATAATCTGATATAAAGTCCTCAAATATAATATCATTTCAACAAATGTTTAAACAGCTATATAGCTATTTTTGTGAGAAAAAAACAACAAACAAAACAACAAATAAAAGAAATTTAGTCAAAGGTAACATTTGTACTTGTAATTATCCATGCAAATTTCTTTAAAAATGTTTAGCTACAAGGGATATCTACAAAAACTTCTATGTTTCACATAATGTTCATTATGTTAATGTAAAATGCTTTAATAGCAAACATTCTTGCTGACAAAACTTAAGATGACCATTATGTAAAACTCGGAAGTGTTTGTAGATACCAACTGAGGAGAACTGATAAAATCCACATGATATATTTCTCTACAAAATTTGGTTGAATATAGCTTATGAAGTTTTCTGAACTTTTAACCTGCAAATTTTTGAAAACAGCACACTCTGACACACAATCATTGAACTGGAAAGTGCCGACAATATGCACAACTACACTTGGTACTGATCATTCCAGTAAAGTTTGGATAAAATTCCGCCAGTAGCTTTGGAGGAGTAGTCTGGACAAGTTTTGTGACAGACAGACGACTGAGCAGTTTTTCCTATACGCCACCTTCTGTCCCAGCATGCATTTATAGAATGGCCCATTATCTATTTTGGGAATATAAAATTAAGTATCCCAACAGTATAGAGCCTAGTCAGACTGCACAGATGCAAGGCTTACCTAGGTCTATACTTGCAGTAAAGGCGTAACACTTTTTGTTCCAGCAGGTAAGGGTTAAAATTGAAATGTATGTACCTCTTGGAATATTTTCAATGCCTTGTCTATATATTTATTGCCCTCATTAAGGGCATCTGTTCCAGTGAGTTCAGGTCCCCCACCACAAGCTTCCCAACTCTCCATGTTAAATGCCAACTTCATCAAACTCATACCCAACTTGAACTGAAATAAGTAAAACAGTTATTTCTCGATATTGTTGCACAATAAGAATAATTAATTATGGCAGGAAATATTCCAAAAATTTGTACAGAAGTTTTTATTCAGACCTATATAAAATAGTACTCAAATCCTGGAAAAATATTTCAAGTCCAGTCATGTCAAAAAACCATAGAAGTCCCTGTAACTACTGAAGTTGGTGACTACAATTCACAAGACAATCAAATCTACTGAAAGCGTTGTAGATCTTCAAACTACTCAAGATAGTCAGAAATCTAGTCAATTTTTTCATTAATTCATCAAATTAAATTTTAAATCTTAAGTTTTGATATCATATGCTATGTACTTACTCTATGATATGTCCCTGGAAGTGTTTTTCGTAACGTTATAGATTTACGACCATAATGTATCGTCTTTCGTAAATCTGGTAGCTGACTAGGTGATACAAAATCATTCAACTTAAGTTTCTGAAAAAGAAAAAAAAAATTCAGAGAATTGCTAAATGAATTTTGAGAAAGACAAAAAAAATACTATACTGTTTATATGATACGTCATGTAGTGACACCATTAGGGCATACTGTTTGAATAATGCCTCCTCATATACACGTAATTCTGACATAAAGACATACAGTTAATTACACTATACAGATCAGCTAAAAGGGCATACAGGTAATATCTTACTCCATCATATATTTTTGCTGTGAAGGCACCCAACTTATATCCTACATTATCATATATTGTTGCAATGAGGAATATTACTTACCTTATCACATATTTTCAGCCATGAGGGATAAAGGTCATAAAACCTTATCAATTTTCTGCCATGACAATTCATATCTTACATCATCACGTGTGTTTGTTACGAGTGCTAAAACTTGTATCTTACCTCATCATATATTTCTGCCATGAGTGCTAAAACTTATATCTTACCCCATCATATATTTCAGCCATGAGGGCTAAAACTTATAGCTTACTTAATCATACATTTATGCCATGAGGGCTAGAACTTATTACTTACCTCATCATATATTTCAACCATGATGGCTAAAACTTATATCTTATCTCATCATATTTTTCTGCCATGAGGGCTAAAACTTATAACATACATCATAATATATTTCAGCCATGAGAGCTAAAACTTATAACTTAGCTCATCATATATTTCTGCCATGAGGGCTAAAACTTATAACCTACCTCATCATATATTTCAACCATGAGGGCTAAATCTTATAACTTAGCTCATCATATATCTTTGCCATGCTAAAACTTATAACTTACCTCATCATATATTTCAGCCATGAGGGCATACAGTTCAACCATTCTATGAGGTCTAGCACCAAGTTCTTTCTCTTCTATCTTCAAAGCTGTCTTCAATAACTCCAGTGCCTCATGGTATTTACCAGCTTGTATGCTACAATATACAATAAATCTCTACAATAATATGGCCATCATTTCTTTACAGATTAATTTATTCTCATGAAATGAAATCCTAGCTGGGATTTAATTCTGAGAATATGATGGATATGGCTTCTTATTTCCTTCAAAGTGATTAACCTTAGTTTTAAACAGTTAATAATAAAATATATCTAAGGAATAACCATTATTAAAAATTATTAAACTTTTTTAAAGGCATACATAACATTATTGTCTACGATAAAATCAGACTTAATTGTTAATGTTAGGCTGCTGTTTCTGTTGAAAGATAACAAATAGATATTTGTTTGTTTTATAACATTTCACTTTATAAAATCAGAACATATTTGGTTTATAAATTAACACATTCTTAACCCCCTTTACATTGCAAGATTGTAATAATATCAAAATTGCACACAAGTCTCTTTAAAACCCTGGATACTGATATCAACTTTTTGTCCACATTGATAAACAGGAAAGAATACCATTTTGCTTATGTAAGAATTAAAATGTAACTTACACAACTCTACAGACTTTCTCATATCTGATGGAGACCGCCTCTTCATTTACATTATCATCCTCCTCAAATCTTGTCAACGCCTCCTCATATTGTGATATCATATCAGATGCACTGCCAACCTAAATTAATGGTATACAAATATAATTCACATGCATTGCCAACCTGAATATTTATGTACAAACAAACATCAGACAAACTAATCTGAAATTTTGGATGAGCTGCAATTAGAAATACTGATCTACAATCATACATCAGATGTACTGCCAACCTGAAATATTGATATATATATATATATAACAATGCATCTAGCATCCTTCCACATATACACTGACTTTTTACTATGTTTCTGTTCTTTTGCAACATTGAGAAATATATGTATCAGTTTTAAATAACGTTATATGCAGTGTCTATAGGCTCTGTGTATGACATCTTTCAATTATTTTGTAAATATTTAGTGAGCCATAAATGTCGCTGTATTTTGAATGGAATACTGGATACAAAAATACTGATGCCTTCATAATAAATTAATAAATAGAACAAAATATCATCAACTAATTTATTTAAAGGTGATGGTCATAAAACAGATTGAACAAATGACCTTTCTCCAAAATGCCAGAAGATCTGAGCTGAACTCTTCATTGTAGAGCACATCAAATACCCTCCAATCACATAAACATTTACTCAGTCCATATTTGTCTTCCAAACACACCAGCTGATATGGGTATTCCTGTAATAAATTAAACTTAAAAATAACATTGTATGCAATTATTTTTCGGTATAATAAAATAAATAACACATGGTGGCCGGGTGATATTGGAATTTTCCCAACCCCCTTATCTGCATTTCGCAACTTTTCAATTATATAATATCAACATATATCAATGGGAAACCCCATCTATTTTTTAAGAATTTTACTTTTCATACAAGTAATGGGTATTTATGCTTAATTGCGTTTTCCTAAAAATTTTTTACTTAAAAATAAGTTATTCTATTATTACCTTTTTATTTTAAAGTTTTAAAAAACAAAAATGACATCTACTAGCCAAGGACATATATCTTTTTCAGGACAAAGCAAGTGCCAGCTTTTTATTTGACAATAAAATTGTCTTTTAACACCAAACAACAGGTCAATAGTTGAATTATATTTTCTCCCTATGCATCTAGTATACTGTAAAATCATTATTATTCGTGGGGGCACTAATTTTCGTGGTTTTCGTGGGTAGGTCAATCAACGAATTTTAAATCCCACGAAAATTTTTTCCCCAAAAAAATTTTTAGCCGTTCTCGTTTTTAATTACAAACATGCGTCCGCTCTTTTCCCCGGGCCCATATTTCGTGAAATCATTAATACAGACAGATAAAACCCGGGGTTTGTGAATATTAAAATCCTTTCAATATTTTAAAAAACTTAAAAAAAACCATTATATGTCCTTTAATTTTCTGTCACAAAAGTCGCTTACATACTTATCGTTGTAGTCTACTAGGACTTGATTGTGTTAACAAGAGTACTTGACATATTCAAGAAAATATGGGAACCTAGGCAGTGCAATAATTAGCGCTAATAAAAAATGTCAGTTTGCTCTTAATAATTTTTAAAAAAGTCTTTGATATTAATGTCGTAAGTACACAAAACTATAAAAAAAATACGATCGCTAAAACAGATTTATTGTACATTCTTTTGTTGTTTTTAAATGATCCAGTTTATATGAATTTTAATCTGTATTTGTGCGAATGCTATTCCGTAAACATCAAAGAAGTCACAGACTTTTACAAGATCCACATATACTCGTGTTATTTACCAAGAATAATTTATATGCATGTAAATTTACACAGTCGCTGTTACATTGCGTGTAGTTACTGTCAAATATGTTAAGACCAATTCAGGGTGTAAACTTTTAAACTCTCTGGTTAAAACGTGCCAGGTGCCGTATAAATTATGCGATGTTTACATCGGCGAATTACAGGGGCAGTGTGTCCAATGGAGGTGCATATCATGTCACATAAATGTGTTAATTGCAGTCAATTATCGGCAGTAACTGTGCTATATTAGAGTTATGCCCAGAGGCAAGGATTAAATTTATTGACAACCGCTGTGTGACAAGTAAAGATATGTACATGTTGTAGAGTAAAAATGTTGGGTGATTAAGTCTAAGATTACTTTGCATTAGGTTACTGATTTTTTTTTAACAAGAAAACTAAAATCCACGAATTTAAGAACCCACGAAAATGCCCGTTTTGATAAAACCACGAAATTTCATGCCCACAAATATAAGTGAATTTGCAGTAATTGATGGCAGAGGAGGACTAAGAGAAACCACACATCACCACCTAATAGGTTGAAATTATTTAATAAAGTCGACTAGTTTCGATCATTACAGTATAATTGTATATCATTTCCAAAATTACCTCCACAAATCTGTCAACATTTTCTACATGTTCAAAATAGTCCGCCAGTTTTTTATGCCACCAGTTATACACTATAGGTCGTTCTTCCTCTACTTCTATATTCTCATCTACCTGCTCATCTTTCTTCTGAAAGTACCTGTAAACAATATCTCAAATATAATAATATGTTCTAATACATGAAACTTTTCTTTAAAATATCATATATTTCTTTTCCCAGGAATATCCTATGACCCGGCCCCATGTTCTCAGGATCAAGATCAGGATCAAATTGAAAAACTCTTAATATTTTCCATTGTTTATCCTCATAGATAAAATATCTAATATTAATTTGATAAAACTGGACTTGCAATAGCATGTTTATGAAAATTTAGAATAAATTTATTGTTATTTTTCCAAGATATGGGCATTTTACAGTTGATCCAAATATTGATCCTGATCCTAAAATTGATCCTTATTTTGATCCAAAATTTTTTGTATTTGTTTTGTTATTTGTTGATTTTATCCCAAAATAGTTTGGTTTCTTTGCAAATCAGCAATTTTCCAACAAAACGCATTAATTTTAGTAACACAAAACAATGAAAATAAAATCAGGATCACTTGATCCTGATCTTTTCTTAGTGAACATGGGGCCTGTGTTCCGGCATGAGACCTGTGTTCTGACATGAAAAGAAAATATTCATACAAATGAGTTCATAAATAGGTTACACTGTACATTGTACAATGTTTGAACCCCGAATTAGCTGGAATAACCCAAAATATTCCTAATTATGGGGTATGATTATTTAGACAAAGCACATCTACAATAAACACATTTACATGGTTGACTGAACAAATTTAGACTTAATTTAACTAAAAGAGAAACTACTTATTTATAGAAGTTTTTGACATTCAAGTAAAAAGGCATGCATATTGAAAGACAAAATAGCAGTTGAAAATGGTCATTAAAATAATTCTTTAATAATATGGGTTAGTAACAGCTTTATTAAAATATGATGCATAACTAGGTCATTTTCTAACATTGGGCTGACAAGTCTTAAAACTACATGTTACTTCTCTTTGCACAATACAAGGAGGTTATTAATAGCATTATAACAATAGAATTTGGTACAAGAAAGGGTCAAACCTATGAGGAGAATACCCTGTCACTAAACCAACTCTGTCAAAAACATAGAAAAATGCTAACTGTAATTGTAATTTTATGACACAACACATATTGCTTTACCTATGTCTAACAGCTTTACTGAGTGTTCTATGGTAAAAGTCTATCCTTCCCTCACTACTCTCACCGTAAGGTCTCAGGTATGGCTGCAGTATATGGAATACCCTCAACCATTTACTATCTGATAGAAAACCAACATCCTTCTTGGTCTCTTTCTCTGATGTCTCCTTCTCATCTACATTAAATATAAATCAGTTATATAATGTCTTAAAGATCCTGTAACACAATTTTTTCGTGTTTTTATTTCATAAATATGATGCTTAAATTAAGATTTGTCAATATTGTAAGTTCAAATAAGCATTATTTATAAAGATATTACCCAATTTAACATTTCATGTTGATAAAGGGAGGTAATTAGAAATTTATTTTCTATAAATTCTAAGTCAAATTTTCCAATAAGAAATGAATGCATGTAATTTATTGATTAAATATAATGTTTGCAGTACACATTTTACATATTCTTCGATGTTTGAAAATTGTTTTATTTGCATAATTATATACATATATAATTTTTTGCAGGTGTGGTATACACACAGTAGCAATATCAATCACAAAACATACAGGATCTTTAAAGGGACTCCACTGAGGTTTTTTGATATGATGGGACTAGAAATAATATTTTGTGATTAATATACCATTTGATATAGATCTAGAACATTAACCAATGTGTGCAAAATTTCAAATCATTCGCTCCTACGTTTTCCAAAATAATCATTCTTATTGTGAAAAATGACCAAAAATTCTTTTCACTCAAATCGGGATAAATTATTTCTGAGATTATTCTTAAATTTTCTTTTGCATATTGTTCGTTTTAAGTGCCCCAGCTCATCTATGTAAGAAATACATATTTAATGATTTTATGCTTTTAAACCTCAGTGGAGTACTGCTAAAAAATATTACATTTTGTATATTTTACATTATTTAAACCAATGAATGGGAATAAAATACATATCTAACATAGAAATGCATGTTTTTTGGCAAATAATTACTTTTTTTATGTTCAACAATATTATTATTGTTTTCTTTAGTAAGGCTAACACTTAGATCATAATGCATCTTTCAAGTGTAACTTGAGACCCCATGAGCATAACCTTGGAAAAACAAACATCTGTGCGCTAGATTTCCCTGGCAGGATTCAAGTCAACAGCAGAGAAAGGCAAGTGAGTTAAACCCTTGAATCATAACCATTCACCAATAGATTACAACAAACAATAATCCATAAATCTATGATAATGTTAACATACATGTAACATCAATTAAAATGTAACTATTCAGCCCAGAAGAATGTAGCCTATAAGATAATAGTACATAAATTCACCAGTATCACAAACCTTTTTCATCGAAAGGAGCAGGTGGCATTAGTTTGTCCTCATCAGCCAGAATGTGACGAAGCTCTGACTCGAGTAGACCAGCTGCCGAGGCTTCCAGTAAACAAAGTGTTGCCACAATAAGAGTCCCTCCACACTCGCCCTCAAACCTCTTTAACAGTTCTTCTAGCAAACTGAAAACGAAACCATAAAAATGTGAAAGGGGACATACTTCCCATTATGTATTATGTCATTCAGAGTCGCATTTCAACTTCTTATCATTAAATTCTATCAAAAACATATTATTCATGTATGCAAAGTTCTAAGAAAACTTTCCCAAAGTTCAAAGAAATGTCTAAAGTTTATATTATTAGTTATAAAGATTATTGACAGGTTATATGGCCCTATATAAAACGGCCCCTTGTTTTAAATTTATAAACCCGAGCTGCCAGACGAGGGTTATATTTTAAAAACAGCCATTTATATATTATCTTCAGGAAAATATCTATAATTAATTATTATAATACAGCCAAAAACTTCCATTTTTGAAAAAAGTGAGATATCTTACAAAAAATTGACCAGCAGCCTGTATAAAATTATATTATAAAACGTCAATTTTTATTTCCAAATGGAAAAAGGATGTTACAAACATCAGATTATTATAAGGTTTTCAGTTTAACCCACTTGAATCTTGCTAAATTTCTTTTAAATGCGTAAGTTCCATTTTTGGAACTGTTCCTATTTATCAATTTTTTCGATATTGACAATTTCAAATTTTACTTTGTCAGCCCCAACAGGTTGGTTTTTTTAAACGAGCCCTTGCTAGACAAGCATTAATTAATTACTTGCCTTACTCTATGCCTAATGGCAAAAGGCTAATCACCTTTGGACCTGGCAGGGAAAGGGGTCAAAGTAAGATTGGGGAAAAAAATTATAAACCCAATTTGGGGTCAAAAGTAGATTGGAAAAGAATATAACAATTAAGAAGTTAGATTATTCCTCTTGTTCAAACTTTCAAAACTTGTACAAAATTATTAATTGTTTGACTTATTTTACAGTTGACTTTTCACCTTGTTGAAAAACAGAGGTCTTATTAAAAGTCCCTCTTCCCCCAATTAAATTTTCTTTAAAATCAAAAGCAGTTTTCCAAAAGATCGTAAAACTTAGATTCAGCTTTTCCCCCAAATCAGGAAGGAGGTAATGCCCTTCCTAATAAAGTGAGGATTTTGTCTGTTTGTTTGTTTTGTTTCATTTTTTTACCGCCTTTTCCAACAGTATTTCAGTCATATAGGCTGGTAGTTTCCTAACCATCGCTTCCTGAAGGGTTACACCAGAGTTACAGACACTACCTTTTTCCTCCGGCCCCTTAAAACACCAAAGCATTCCCCGGGGATTTCATACCCCCCCAGATGGGTAACGGATTAAGAAAGTCATACTCTAAACTCAGACCAAGGGAGGCGGGTTCTTAATAAAAGTTGAGGGAAAATCATTGATTTAGTAAATATTTTGTAATTAGTTTTATTAAAACCAGTATTATAATACTTGGAGTTTTATACCAAATCAGGTAGACAGTTAATTCCTCATCAACAGCTTCCACTACGACTTGTTACTGGCAAATTCCTCATCAAACTACCGTTCAACCATTAGCGGAAAATTCTTCTGATGATTATTGACTAATTTTAATTAATTTCTCTACCTGGTTCTATACTCATTCTCTTGTTTACTTTGTCATCAATTTCTTTTAACCCATAGCCTTTCCTGCCAAAAATTAAACAACTAGTCATGACCAATTTCATAATAAAATAGAAAATGGTTCTAACTGACCTTCTCCATGGCCAAAATTCTCTTGCTTTTCCCTTTCTTTTGTCAATGGTTTATTGCAGAATTTACAGCCCAGGCCAATTACCGTAAACCTTCCAAAAATTTTATTGCAGCAATAGTTGAAAGCTCTTACAATATTTCTAATATCAACTATTGAAATCCACATACCCATTTTTTTTAATCAAATTTCCATTGTTGAGTTTTCAGCTTGATGGTACCGATAATTTTTTAGGTGTCACAAGCAAACCATCAAGAATGTCTTTACTACCTTTCCTATTTTACTGGCTGGTGAAAAGAACATTTCAGGAAACTCACTTTGCAAGCAGGCACTTAAGTAGGAATAACCGACCCTTCCATAAGCTAGCTTAAAGCTTCCCCACAAAAAAAAATCCAAAGTTCTGTAGGAGACTCCAGTACTGAGGGTCAAATGATTCATGTTTGTCAGCAAACTAAATCACTCAACAACAGAGCCCCAACGAAATGCTTTTAAATCTTATACTGTTATTAAGATGAGACCATGATTTGTTTTAAAACAACTTTAGCAAGTTATCATGTATTTATGGAATCCTTTTGTCCCCTATTTCTATTAACTCACTCATTTACCTTTTTGTTACTAACAATATTCATCGCCATTTAATTCGAGAGTGTTTCAATAAACTTATAGCTTCCAACACAATCAAACTAAAAATAAATTTGTATAAAATAATAGACATAAAAAATTATGTCACAAAAAGGCTTTTGTTATTATAGTACAATAAAAGAACACTATCACTTTCTATAGATAAACTTGTTTATCACATAGTATAGGAACAAACCTTTCTTGAGATGTTATATTTAGAGGTTGAATATTGGCTCCTCTCTATTAGGTTTGGTTTCCCTCTTCATCAGTTTTTATGCTGCATTGACTGATTTATTGAAAAAACACACATCGTTACATGAGGGAGACAGTTTTCTTGGTACCCAGCTCATCACCTTCGCAGCTTGTTCCTCAGAAAACTTTAACATGCAAGTATTTTTACATATATCATATATAAAGTTGATAATAAAAATTGGGTTACCAAAAAGTTATACTAGGGATAACGATAAGGTAAGGGGGAAACTTGTTTCAATAAAAAAATTTAAATTAAGATTACACATAATTTACTATATAGATTTTGCTGCCAAAGTCTTCAAAAAAACCAGAAAGTTGTAACAGCAAAAATATGAAATATTAACTATAACATACCAATATAACAAAGTATGTGTTGGGGAAATATGACAGAGTTTTTTATTTACACATTTTGACAAATGTTTAAAAAAATCCTCACCCAAAATTCAATATATATTAAATCTGAACAATGTTATTTAATTGTACTAGAACCCCAAAAAAACAAAGCCCCAATTTTCATTTTCAAGCTAAAATTTTTCCTAAAAAAACCCCTGAAAAACCAGAAGGCATTTTTCAGACTTTTAGCTTTGATATTTACCTGGTTAAGAGCATCAACAAACCCCCAATGATTATGGGTTGAGTGTGTTCTTGGATTTGACAAACATATACAAACACAATCTTTGAGCTGCCTCCGTTCACATTCGCTGGCATATTTGAATTCCTTACATTAAAAGAAACATTCCAAGTTAACATAAACACAAAATTTTTTTTGCTCTCTTACATCATTAAAATTGGACCACATCATATTTTTATCCAGTATTTACTCATTTTTCAAATTACTCTTTTTGTTTTTCGTTTTTTTAACTTTTCCCACCCTACACAAGTATTGCTTCAATGGTGACTTTCCAAGCTTAGGTAGGAAAGACCCCTTTTGGGTGCCCTTATATTGGTATTATTTTCAACATGAACGAGCACCCTGAAAAGTTTTAAAGACCACCGACTTTCCATAAACTACTTGATAGCTTCCTCACATTTAAAAAGAAAAATCCAACAGAGTCCCCTGTCAGGATTTTAAACCCTGTGGTGAGAGGGCAAAGGGGGAAAATGGTTGAAATAAACGACCCTTTAACCACTTCAGCCATTTAGACACCTCTACTTATTTTTATTTATTTTTTTTAAAGTTTCAAACTACTTTCTTGTAGACATGGAAACCCAGCAAACCAATATGGTTCTTCCATACCATCGCAGAAACAATCGTCTGTGACAAAGTTATTGAGAGAAACCCTTCTACGCGGCAAATTCTAAACAGTTTTTTGTTGACAAACACTTTATGCATACGGACACAAAAAATACCAGTTTGGGACAACTCGCCAAAAAAAACTTTCTGGCGGGAAAACAGGGAGGTCTCTAAGCATCTTATGACAATTTTTAAAAAACAAAAATTATTTAAATGAAAAGTTCCCAAAAGTGAGCTTCAAATAAAATTTTTTACTTGCACCTAAATTTATTAAAAATCCATTTTCTTAAGGAAACGTTTTAACATTTTTGGTGTGGTTCAAGATTTGTAGAACCAGGTACTCTTTGCCACCAAAAAAGTGGAAGAAGTAAATGCCATGCTTTTTATCTGACCTGAAAAAATTTAATGTAGGGAAAGGATTTAGCAAATTTATAAAAAAAGTTGTTAAAAACTTTAATATTCTTGATGTAAAGGGATAATCGGATTATTTTTGAAGTATTAATGGTTTTTGTATTTGTTTTTCCCCCGGTTACCTTTTACACCTTGATTTTATTTTAACCCTTTTTTTTTTCATATCTCAGCGGTCAAATCCATCCCAACCACTTCCTCGATATCTAACAAAACAATTACTAATTTCCCTGCAAGTAACACACTATTATGATTTTCTGTCATAGAGGAAGATTTGCCTTGCCCTAGGATCAAACTAGTAACCCATAGATTTTTTAATCTGATGCTCTTTCCTTTCACGTAGTCAGGCAGACAGCTTCTTTCAAATAATGAGTTTTATATACAAGGTGACCAGTAGTATAAGCTTTTTAAGACAAAAAAAAAAAACTTTATTAACATTAAAGGTAAACATCAAACCCCTTTTTAATGAGCCATCTTTTTTTCTTTTGGAGAACTTATCTGCAAATTTACAAAGCACCGATGATTTTTTCCTAAAGTCCTGGTTCACCAACTAATAATAATGGCACATCCTTATCGTTCTTCTGAACACATAATCCTCAATCTATAAATAACATGATCCTCAATCAATAAATAACATAATCCTTAATCTATAAATAACATAATCCTTAATCTATAAATAACATGATCCTCAATCTAGAAATAACATAATCCTCAATCCTCAATCTAAAAATAACATAATCCTCAATCTATAAATAACATAATCCCCAATCTAAAAATAACATAATCCTCAATCTATAAATAACATAATCCTCAATCTAAAAATAACATAATCCTCAAACTATAAATCACATAATCCTCAATCTAGAAATAACATAATCCTCAATCTAGAAATAACATAAATCCTCAATCTAAAAATAACATATCCTTAATGTATTAAATAACATAATCCTCAATCTATAAATAACATAATTTGCAATCTATGAATAACATAATCTCCAATTAATGAAAGAATAACATAATACTCAATCTATAAATAACATAATCTCCAATTTATGAATGACATAACATGATCCTATAATATGTGAAATAACACAATCCTCAATTTATAAAATAATACAATCCTAAATCTGTAAAATATTGTAATCCTAAAATTATAAAATAATGTAATCCTCAATCAATAAGATAACATAATCTTAAAATTATAAAATAACATGATCCTCTATCTATGAAATATCATGATCTTAAATCTTTGAAATAGCATATTTTTCAATATCAGTAAATACTTATATCATCAACAATTCTTACAAAGATTATATGTTACGGTGGAAAACCACAATTTTAAGTTACAATGAGCTTTTCATAATTGTGGCCAACATTTTGGTCACTGCATTTTTTCCAGCACAGTATTTTCATAGTTAAGAAATAAACAGTTTGTTACAAACCTTCTGTAAAACATCCCTCTTACCTAACACTGTTGAACCCTTTCAATCTCATAAAAGTTTCATGTTGTCGACACACTAAAACTGTCTTGATTATTGAAAGACTGTGGCTGTTCTCCACAAAAATCATATTAATATTCGCTGCTTACAAAAATCCAGTATCTGAAATAAATTGTTTCATTGCCCAATATAAAATTTCATGAACAAAAATTTTTTTTTTAAAATTAATTTTTTTTATTCATTTAAAATTTTTTAAAAAAAAATTTAAAAACTTACAGTAACCCCAAAAAAAACAAACTTTTTTAATTTTTATAACAAACAAAAAACTACAAACATTGGAAAAAACAATTTTAAATATTAAAAATTTTTATTTAACCCTTTCTTTTTTAAAAAATTTTATACAAAACTTTTTCAAATCAGTTTTTAAAGAATTACATAAAAAAAGCTGTGACAAATTTCACACTCACATCTCCTTTTTACCCAAACAAATGAAAAACAATTTTTTTTTTGATAATTTTAATTTTAATTAAAAATTTTTAAATTTTTTGCAATAAATTTAGTGAAAATTTATAAACCTAAATTATTATACAGAATTATTTATTCAACTTTATTTTGAAAGAAGGAAATATTACCAGTTTATAGGACACACCCTTTAAAATTCTGTTACTGGAACCCAACCAGTTTATTAAGCAATGAGTTTCTGTAACATTCTTGCTCAAAAACAGCAGCTTGCCCGCCCTGAGTTTGAACCCCCCCGGCTAGCAATCTTTGGATTACTTAGACTTACCAGGTTAACCCAAATCAGCCATGCACACAACCTAGTTTAGTTACAAATCTAAAATTTAATGTTTCCTATAAAATAAGTTTAACATTATCAGAACTGTAACGTATTCTTTCAAAAAACACCAGTTTTGTTATGTTTTTTCGAGTTCTACCCTAGACCTTAAATCACACTTGTGATACTTTATTATTCTTGCCGGCTGCCTTGAAAATCTCAGAAAATTCAAAAAAAAAATGTTTAAAAATTAATAAATTTACACATGGCAAAATATGAGGTTTATGAGTTTACTGATGATAAAAGCCTTTTAAATTTGAACTTTCCAGTGAAACAGTGAAAATTTAAATTTAAACCGTGAGAATGAAACCTAACATATAATGCCAAGTCTGGTTAATATTAATCTAAGTACATTGACTTTTACTGTGGAAGTACATGTACATGCTTCAATCAATATCAACATTATTATTTCAACACAAAAAAAAATTAAAAACATTTGATAAGTGAGTCAAGAAAATTTTTGCCCTGTTTATATAATGAAGATCACATTGATAGTACTGTTTATAGTCATTATGGCAATTTTCCCTAAAATGATATATGTTTGGTTTTATACACAATTTATTTCTGATTGATTTGTGTACGAGGCAATAGGCTTATAGCAAACTGTCAAATCCGTTTCTGGAACCAACCAGTACTGAGCAATGAGTATAAAGTTTCTTTAACAAGGGAAAAAACAAACCTTTTCCCCCGAAAAGGGGGATGAACCTATTCAGTATGATTCCCCGGGAAGTTACTAGTCTGAGCATTAAAACCCCGTCAAAACCTCTCCAATATTTTGTTGATTTAAGGGGGCATTTTTTTTTACCGGAAAATTTTTTAGCAATCTTGTCTCCACAATTTCTTGGAATTTTTCTTACTTTTCTTTAAAAAAAAAATCTCCCGTCCTTTCTGGTACTTTTTTCCAACAAAATCATTTGTATCAGGGAAAAAAAATTTCTGACAAATTTTTAAAAAATAAAATTTTTTTTAAAACATTTTAAAATGGGTATTATTAAAACCTATTTAAAAGTAATTTATTTTTTTTTAGTCCCGACATAGGGGAAAAAAAAACATTGGGATACCAAAAAAATAGCCAAAAAAAAAACAACTTTCCCAAAAATTGTTAGTTGTGGGCAGAAAATGTTAAAAACATAACACACAATACCATGGATAAAGAATTTTACTAAAGACAGTGTCTGCATGGAACATGATTCATCTAATATTAATTTCAAATCCATGAATCATATGTCATGTTCATGTAAACAAAAGCTACACACCAAATTGTCATTTGAAAATAGCCATATCATCTGTTTATAGCCTGCATTACGTTTCTTGTCAGGCTTGACATTTAACAACTGTACACTAGTAAAAATAGGAATATGGCAATTTCACCTCCCCCACCTCCCCCCCCCCCCCCCCCCCCCCCCCCCCGATGTGCCCCTATTTTCTAATAATGCTTCATTGAACATATGCCACCCACTTTTTTTACAGAACATAATACAAATTTCTACTGTGGGCAGGTAAATACTATTTTAATGAAAAGTAATATACAAATAAACTTATGTATTAATCTTACAATTATGATTATCTTCTCTGTAAGCTCCATACATCACTTCTAAATCTTCCATCAATAAGCCATATGTGTCTATATAATCTTCTATATGTTCATCTGGACAATCTCCCCACATTGGTACCCAGCCTACTCCTTCACTGTAACATAGATATAATAGGTGAATAGAAACATGGTACCCAGCATACTCCTTCACTGTAACACAGATATAATAGGTAAATAGAAACATGGTACCCAGCCTACTCCTTCACTGTAATACAGATATAATAGGTGAATAGAAACATGGTACCCAGCCTACTCCTTCACTGTAACACAGATATAATAGGTGAATAGAAACATGGTACCAAGCCTACACATTTACTGTAATACAGATATAATAGGTGAATAGAAACATGGGACCAGCCTACTCCTTCACTGTAACACAGATATAATAGGTGAATAGAAACATGGTACCAAGCCTACTCCTTCACTGTAACACAGATATAATAGGTGAATAGAAACATGGTACCAAGCCTACACATTACTGTAATACAGATATAATAGGTGAATAGAAACATGGTACCCAACCTACTCCTTTCACTGTAACACAGATATAATAGGTAAATAGAAAACATGGTACCAGCCTACTCCTTCACTGTAAACAGATATAATAGGTGAATAGAAACATGGTACCCAGCCTACTCCTTCACTGTAACACAGATATAATAGGTGAATAGAAACATGGTACCAAGCCTACACATTTACTGTAATACAGATATAATAGGTGAATAGAAACATGGACCCAGCCTACTCCTTCACTGTAACACAGATATAATAGGTGAATAGAAACATGGTACCCAGCCTACTCCTTCACTGTAACACAGATATAATAGGTGAATAGAAACATGGTACCCAAGCCTACACATTTACTGTAATACAGATATAATAGGTGAATAGAAACATGGTACCCAACCTACTCCTTCACTGTAACACAGATATAATAGGTAAATAGAAACATGGTACCCAGCCTACTCCTTCACTGTAATACAGATATAATAGGTGAATAGAAACGATGGTACCCAGCCTACTCCTTCACTGTAACACAGATATAATAGGTAAATAGAAACATGGTACCAAGCCTACACATTCACTGTAATACAGATATAATAGGTGAATAGAAACATGGGACCCAGCCTACTCCTTCACTGTAACACAGATATAATAGGTGAATAAAAAGATGGTACCCAGCCTGTATATTCACTGTGACATTGGTATTTTGTATGGAAGTCAAAATACTATTTTGTTTACTGTTACATTTCGCTACTTTTTTATGACTCATTCCTGCAAGTTCAATGCTACATCCTTCAGTTGTTAAACATCTAACATGCTCTAACATTTTTTAACACATGATTGATCTCTCTAACAATTAAAATAGTGTTGATTTCTGAGGCATAATATGCCTTTAAGCATAGATATTACAGGTAAATATCATCATGGCATCCAGCATAAATAGTTAATGCCTTGATGGTTCTGTTCAAGTGTTGGTCCCTATATACCTGGAATTAAGCAAAGTGAGTCACTTGGGGTTTCATTTAACAAAGCAAAGATTTTAATGTTGCCAGATGAACAGAACAAGAAGAGAATGTTTGACATAATATCTAGTCTATATCTGAAGTAGGCAATGATGACATTTTCATCCATCACTTAAAGGAAGTCTACAACTTCTTTCATCTCATCAATGAGGGTGCATAACTCAACCAAGAAAAGTAGACAAGCCTATTATTACAACACAGTGGCCTTGACCCCAGTGACCTGAAACCTCCTACTCCATTCAAACAAGGAAAGAAATCAAGCAATGTATCTACATGTATATAAATTTGCATATCCATACCAATTACATAAAGATATGATCAATAAACAAAGGGTTGAATTTTGACACAAAACTAGGTAAGTTACTACACTACACTAAACATTTAAACTTAAAACATTGTGAGTTATTAGATGAATACTAGTATACAAATATAAAAGATTTTCCTATTAAAGCCTCTGTAAAAGTAAGTCGTCTACACAGCTGGGTCTGTTCTGACCATAGCATTATGTTTTAAGGTTTTTTTTTGTTTTTTTTCTCAGATTGGTTTTAATGTCGCACCAACATAGTAAAGGTCATATGGCGACTTTTCAGCTCTACTGGTAGAGAAAGACCTCAGGTCTGAGTAGAACCACTGACGTTCCGTAAGCTAGCTGGATAGTTTTCTCACGTGCAGAATCTGAAGATGCTATGGTGGCTCAAACCTAAAGCAGTGAGAGGCAACAGGTTTGAAGTCAACGTCCTTAACCACTCGGCCGCGAAGACTCCTTCCAAGCATTATAATATGACAATGAAGTTGTCAAAATGTGATTGAATAATATAATTATGTACATTACAGATGCCTCAAGGGAAATAAGTATAATTACAAACCTTGTAAAATTGAGGAAAATTGGCATGACATTGTTATAATAGCAGTTTTCAATGCTTGTCTGTATTTTTTCTTGACTTGTTGGATCTCGCCTTTCTGGGTGTAGGGAACCCTAAAACATCAACACACATAAAAAATTGGTCTCTTAAAATATATGTATCTTCAATAAATTTTTCCTTTTCAACCGATATACTATAAGCAACTTATATATTATGTTGGAAACTGTTGTAAATGCTAAATAGAATTAACGGATAGTTATAAGTACTTTGTACATTCCTGTACATAAATTAAACCATTGAGTAATAAGAAGCAACAACTGAACTGTGCTGTGGTATACAGTTCAACCTCTGACAGTACATATAAATGCCACAAAATTATTTAATCAAACAATTTTGTTTTTAAAAAGACTAATCAGTCAATTTTTTTTTTAAATATCATAATCAAACTAATATTTATATTCAAATGTATATAATTTATAAATATGAACAAATAGTCATGCTTCTTTTCCACCAAAAAGCCAGGAAAAATGCATGCAGTTATCATTTGGGAAAGTTGATTAAGGGGCAAGATATCAGTATCTTCTTGTGACGACCAGAGTTAATATTTTTATTCATATACCCAAACTATAAAATCATTGTTAATTTTGAGCATTAATTAGAACAGGTCTTTGTTATCGAATCATAAAATATAAATACATGTATCTAGATTTACTATCATTCCTTACCCATTTGATGAATTTCTCCGCGAGTGTTAACTGCTTACTTTCACACCAACTCCTTAACTCCTGCAGTACCTGTCAAATATAAATAATTGCTAGAATCATATACAGAATTAATAAGTTCTTACAAAAAAAATTAGAAATTAGATTGCATCTACATAAAAGAACAAATATCCATAGCGATAAATCTGTGCATCAATGACATGACACACAAACATCAAAATACAAGGCAAATCAACAGACAACATAAAACTCAATCATCTCCCACATTCCTGAAAATCCTCTGGAGCAGAGGAAAGCTGTCATACAATAAATGAAATTTCAAAATTTCAACCTAAGAACAATTTTTGGTGACAAGATATAAAGCCCTCAACTTGTACAAAAACTATTATCCAAATTCTTCTAAATAAATAAAAGTATGTAACTATATCAAAGTCCATTACAGTTATGTACTCTTGCCGTCTAGTCAAGATAATAACAGAAAGAAGTACGTACTCCCAGTTACAAAGCTTCAATAGGTTCTGTGCAAATTGTGTTTAAAAAACAAACAAACAAATATTAACTAAGGTTGCTGACATAAAGGCAATTCTAGATGCAAAGCAGGACGTAGGTTAACATACTTCTCTTTTCAGGAATTCCCGCTCAGCAAAGAAATCATCTGAGTATGAAGTTATAAATAACTTTACTGTGCTACCCTCTGTCTTTGTCACCTTGTCTGGGGACGTGCCCCCTGTAGCCATGCTTACCAAATATTTCTAGCAACGTTCACATTGTTCTGAAAATAATATAAAACATTACGTAACCTTAGTGCAGTAATCTGTTAACCAATATTGAATTATATAAAGAATAAACCAGTCACTGCACCATGTGGACAATTAAAGCATTTAAATGCTGATTTTCTGAGATTTAATAAATTAAATCTAACCCTTAGTCTAAAGGCAGCATGCCACCAGTGCAGATCAAAATCAGCCAACACATATTTGGCACCTGATCATGGTCTGCACTGTTCACTATTCAACCAGTACATATTTTGAAATTCAGTCAGTACATATGTTGAATTCAGTCAGTACATACATGTCTGTTGAAATTTCCCTAAAAATGATAAATGGTTTTGTCCAGGATGAGTCCATTACAGAAATTTTGCCTGGTAAGGGTTAAACAAAAGTTGCTTTTATATTAAGTAACATCGAGAAGATAACCATGTGATGACAAAAACCATATTTAATCAATTAATATTGATCTTTATTTCATAAATAATTCATCTATTTGCTGAATCATTTTAAAAGATACTGAATAGTTTATAATATAACTGATTTCCACTACCAGTAGTTTAATTTAACTAATTACAACTCTTGCCCATTAATGATTAACTACATGTAAAACTGATGTGATATTTATAAGGTAAGTATAAAAATGTGAACCATTAAAGAACATTTTTTTTTGGAACTACATGCATTATGTAAAACTCCCTGCAAGAACTGGAAAGCTGACCTGGAAATGACTCAACCAGATATTTGCCCAACAAGAAAATGAATAATGACAACATTTTTCTGATCATCAAGCAATCATTTCTTAATACAATTTAGCCTTTACTACTCTAAATACAATATTTGACCTTGCAATCAAGGTCATTTTCAGGTCAAGGTCATTTATAGGTCCAGGTCTGGTTCAGTCTTTTCTACTTAAAGGTCTTGTCCAAACGGTTGTTGTGTCCAAGTATGAAGACAATACATTAATAAATACACAAATAATAGCCAATGTTTAAGTTTCTGGATGCCAATGGCAACAACAACCTCACTGTAATAATAGCTCCAAATTTTTCTTCGAAAAAGTTGTGCTATAAAGGACATACATTGAACTTTCAGTAATTAATTTATTTTACTGATACTAAATTGGGACATCTTTACTATTTAGTACACTATGGACATGAATGTTAAAGTCAATGACTAAGTATGACAATAAAATCTAGATCAATCTGCCATGTTTATATAGGTGGTGCATCAAAATAGCATGTGTTCAGATAACAAATGTATTATCAATAATACAAGAATTTGAGTTACCAATGTCTCCCGCCTAAGGGAAGTTCTACATGAAGTACAAAATTGTGCTATTTCAAAAAATTGAGGTATGGATCTGGACTTTCAGTACAAAATTTTGATCAATGCTAGATCTGCATATGCCAGTAACAATAAATTCATTAAAGAAATATAATGAAATAACTCCTGTGAGTGTAGAACAAAAGCCCTCTAGAACAAAAGCCCTCCCATCAAAAAGTGACAAGACGAACAAAAGCCCTCCGTGAAAATGACAGGGCGGACAAAAGCCCTCCCGTAAAAATGACTTGGCGGACAAAAGCCCTCCTTTGAAAATAATAGGGCGGACAAAAGCCCTCCCGCAGCAAATACATATATGTACGTTGAATAGTTTATATTTTCTTTTCAATGCACTCAACATATTAAAATTGTAATCATGAATATTTTGTTTTCCATTGGCATAACCGTGTTTGTATGAGCTTGAGCACATTCCTGAGAGGCATCTGAATAATTAGTGCTAAAATCTGTAAGTGCATATTTATTTACGTAGATATGAAGGATTACTCCTATGTGAAGTTAATATTTATAGAGTAATAAATGATGAAAAGAAGTTAAAATTATCTAACTTAAAGTTAAAGACATTTATAATGTGCCTTGTAATGAGTCAATTACTTTTAAAAGTGACTTTGTTTTTAACGACATTCATGTAAAAAGTTACCTCGTTAAACATTTCCTGAAGGTATATTTAGAATAAAAGGTGGTTCTGGCTCATACACATACTTAGGCCAATTGAAAACAACAAGAAATATATGTAACAATTTTAATATGTTGAATGCATTGAAAAAAACACAGGTATTCAACATACATATTTATTTTTGTTACGGGAGGGCTTTTGTCCGCCTTGTTAATTTCACGGGAGGGCTTTTGTCAGCCAAGTCATTTTCATGGGAGGGCTTTCGTCCGCCCTGTTATTTTCACGGGAGGGCTTTTGTCCCAAATTGAAATATTTGTGCCAATTTATTTCAAAATCCCTAGAGCATTAAAAAATGAGCCGTGTCACGACAAAACCAACATAGTGCGTTTGCGACCAGCATGAATCCAGACCAGCCTGATGCGCGGATGCGCAGGCTGGTCTGGATCCATGCTGTTCGCAAACGCATTATGTTGGTTTTGTCGTGACGCGGCTCAAATTATGGATTGCACACAAAATTTACCCTTTAAAAGACAATGTTAAGCTTTGACCTATAAGTGTGGCCTTGACCTTGGAGATAAGAGTTCAGATGTTGTGCATGACATATTGTCTGTCAACATTTATGCCAAGTATTTTCAAAATCTCTTCATTGATAAGAAAGTTATGCACTGGAAACAAAATATACGCTATTACATATACTATTTTTATATTTGACTGTGACCTTGACCTTGGAGGTAAATGGCTGGTTTTTGCGCATGACACATTGTCTCACTATTGTGAACATTTGTGCCAAATAATATCAAAATCCCTTGATCTATATGGAAAAGTTATTCAACAGACTTTGTTAATCTCTGACCTCCAACTCTGACCTTGACCTTGGAGTTAGGTGACTGGTTTTTGCACATGACACATCCATCATCTTATTATTGTGAACATTTTTGCCAAATAATTTCAAAATCTCTTGATCTATGAGAAGTTATGGACAGGACACACAATATTCTCTGTAACAAACTATGTTAATCTTTGACCTTCAAATGTGACCTTGACCTTGGAGGTAGGTGACTGGTTTTTAGGCATGACACATCTTCTTATTATTGTGAACGTTTGTGCTGGGGATTTTCAAAATCCCTTTATGGATTAGAAAGTTACAGAACGGACACAACATATACCATCAAATAGACAATGTTAACCTCTAATCATCAAGCGTTACCTTGACTTTAGACATACATGCCATATTGTCCCGGATGTCTGGGATTGTCCTTGAAATAAGGTATTTGTCCCAGAGATGATTTATGTCCCGGTAAAAAATAAAAAAAAAATAAAATAACCAACTTTGCAGCCAGAAATTTTACATTTTTATATAATCTAATTGTCAAGTTATTATTAACTATTCCAGAGCACTAATAAAAGAACCATTATCCCCATACAGTAGTATATAGAAAATGGTGACACTAATCCTTTGATTGGTAAATCTATGTGCCCCTTGCAACTAACAATTATTGGCAATAATTTAGATCAATTAAAAGATTGTGTAATCCCTGTGGCTTCCTGAGTGAAGGTGTCATAAACTGTAATTAACAACTGGCCAACATAAATTGTATCTGCCTGCAAACACTCATTGACCCCGTTTTGAGCTCAAACACCGTGAAAATTACCTCTAAATATGAGGTGTTAAGTCTATATATATGATTTGGCAAACGTTTCAGCTATTTTTAACAAACAACATGGCTAAATAATTTGTAATTGTCATTTATGTGAGAAGATCAAGCTCAGTCTGGTCAACTAGAAGGTCTTGTCCAAAGGAATGTTGTGTACCAAGTATGAAGGCAATCCATCGAGAAATAAAAAAATATGACCAAAGTTAAAGGGTATTGGTACACCAATGTGTATTTCATATTATTTTATGCTTAAATGCGCAACTGTATCTCTGCAAAGTAGATCTAACACAAGGTTCCGATTATCCAACTCCATGGAGTACTTTAACTCCATGGAGTACTTTACTACGTTTTCATTTGTAAAACGCTTCACATCAAATCATCATTTTCAGCAGAAATTTTGCATGGCTTCAAAACCGCAGTTCCAATGTTTGATCAGAATATGTCTTTTTGAGGTTGAAACTATAGTACCAAGGAAGTAGACAATAATGCGATTTGCACTGCTTTAAATCGTTTTTAAATTGGTTTTGAAAAAAGAGACCTTAGCAACTAGCTTGTGAAATATGTAAAATGAAAAGTGTAAATTAAAAATGTTTTTTTTTTATCTGACTTTGCCTTCTTTCAAATTATTCAGTTATTAATTGAACAATATGGTCTGAGCATCTACTAACTAATGCTAATTATTCATGTCATGCTCATCATCTACTCATCATGCAATTTCTTTCAATTATCATATAATTAAGATTATAAAATGGACTAGAACTAGGTCTGGCTCAATTTTATTTATAAAGCTTTACAATCTTTTACAAAATGTTTAATTCATTAGAATGTCAGGATAATTTAATGATTTGCATGTGCCTCGATCACTGTCGACTGTCAAAAAAGTAGTGACCTTCCTACTGCAACTTATATCACCTCTGAAAGAACCCTACCTCAGCCCAAACTTTACTATGCATGACTCTAATGGAAATGCTCGTTCGAAAGATACTGCAATATTACCAAAGATTTGGAATAACTGGATATTTGTTTTCTCTCAGATTTGCAGTGTATTGACATTAGATGGTTCCCCGTTTCTCAGTACAGCTGAGATCTGACTTAGGAACCAATGCGTCTAAATTTGTTTTTCAACAATAAAGAGCTATCACTGTTTATAACATAGTACGCGTATATGAACAGCTCGGTTACCTGTCTGAATCAATTTAGATATCTACTATTTTAAAACGATGGAAATTGGTTTAATATGTGGAGTATCAAATAAGTATGAGATGCTGTAGCAGTAGATCTATTTTTGGAGTCGGGATATGTATGTAATACAAACGTTCCTGCTGAAATCAAAGTTTTAAAATTGTAAAACGTGTCTACATCGTCCAAATTTGTATACTGGTATACATTTATAAATGAGCTTAAATGGAAATTTAAGAAGATTATCATCATTAACATTTAATTATATAATAACCTAGGACATACTTACAATTTTCTCCAGTTAGCCTTTTTAGTCATACAGTATACCTATAGATCTAAATGAAATATTTACAAATATTGATGAAATAAAATGAAAATTTGCCTTTTCCGTATTTTCAATGTAGGCCCCTAATTTTTTTTTTCTTAACCATGACAATGAACATATTTTGCGTATTTTCTTGCCGGACTTATGTCTTCTAAATTCAGCAAATACACAAAATTAAAGTGCAAGTCTATCGAATCGCAATTAAGAATAAAAAGAGTAGGTTAAAATAAACAGAATTTTCTCGTGGTTCTTATAAAAAATTATCATCTTTACTGTCGTGAAATATTTGTTACATTTATCATACCACTCAATGAAAAAAAATCCTGTATTTATATAAAATAGCCTCTTAATCTCTATATATTTGAACAAAACAAAAAACTAATTAATATTACGGTAGCATATTACCATAGTTCCGATTAATTATTTATATGTCACAATGTAGTAGAACCATTCTATGGAGAGAATGGTTAATACGGAAATCTTGATTTTTCCCGACCCATCACCCAACCCCGGGAACATTCAGATCGTTCCCGCACCGCAACTTAATTAATTGGATGTATCATCTTAATATTTTGGCGCCAAAACAGCATACGTCACGCATTGATCAACTCGGCAGCGCGGGGACAGATAGGTAAAAACTTAGCTATGTTCAGCGGCATCTCCTACAAGATCTGCCCATGGGTGGAGTCTCATTTGATTAGCTGGTGCATAATAAAAATAGTAGTTAAGAGTTAAAATACTAACTTGTACGTGTGCATATTTATTGATTGATTGATTGATTGATTGATTCATTGATTCATTCATTCATTCATTCATTCATTCATTCATTCATTCATATACAGCTCAGCTGCATAGAATTTGAAATGAAATAGAAGTCTATATAGTTTTTATGTGAAATATTCAATGTATTTACAATTGTGAATGTTGGGTAAAGAAGAACATCTCTGAATTAAGCTCATAAATATTCAATATTAGATAGTTTGACGCTTTTTTTTTATCTCCATGTCATAAAAATTGAGCCCATGAATATATAAAACAAGTCGAAAGGAAGTAAAATTAATACTAATGAATTGGTATTATGAGCGAGCATGTGGTTTTAACTTGTTTATGTATGAACGTTTATTATTATTGTTGCTTTCCATTCGATTTTATCTAAAAAAAAATGTTACAAACTATGAAAGAATAAATAAGGATTCGATTTCAAATGCTGTACACGTCAGTGTACTCTCAAGCACGGATGTAATTAAAGGCAATCCCTAGCATAACAGTTAATCGACGATCACGCACATTTTTATAAATTTCGAATTGTTTAGTAATTCTGGTAAAGGAGGGTGCCTCAACAATTAAACAGGTGACATGAGGTAACATAAGGTATGGTTCAGCTCTGGTGGGATAAAGACCCGACGGTGCGTGGACAAAATGAAAAATAAAATACTTGACTATTTTTTCCATAAAACAAAAACAACAAAAATCACCGTGTTATTGCAGGCCTTTTAGAGGGTTCTTATCGCAATGAAACCTGTGGTGATGACCCCAAGGATTGCAGTAAAACTAACACAACCCACGGGGATTTGCCTTTTAAAGGCCTCTTATTGCAATAAAAAAACACGGTGATAGTCTGATGGAATGTAGAAAAATTCACACAACCCATAATGACAGACCTTTTAGAGAGTCCTTATTGCAATAAAACCTACGGTGACTGATAGCCGCAAGGAATGCATTAAATCTCACACAACCCACGGTGACAGGCCTTTTAGAGGGTTCTTATGGTAATAAAACCACGGTGATAGCCTCGTGGTTTGCAAAGATCACGCAACCCACGGTGATAGGCCTTTTAGAGGGTTCTTATCGGAAAAGAGCCCTCGCTAATATCCGCTGAAATCTGCATTGAATGCATTAAAGCTCTCATAACCCACGATAATTTGTCTTTTGAATGGTTCTTGTCGTAATAAAACCCACGGCGATATCTTCAAAGAACGCATTTAAGCTTACACAACCCACGGTGATAGGCCTTTAAGAGGGTTCTTAGATGGCATGCAGAGAAGCAAAAAAAATCATCGGTGGAAGCCTCAGGGAATGTCTTACACAACCCACGGTGATAGGTATTTAGGAGAGTTCTAATCACAACTTAACCCACTATGATAGCCTCATGGAATACAGTAAAGCTGACACAACTGGCGGTGATAGACCTTTTAGGGGTTTCTTATTGCAATAAAACCAACGATGGTTAATAGCTACAAGGACTGCAATAAAGCTCACACAACCCACGGTGATAGGCCTTTTGGAGGTTTCTTATTGCAATATAACCCACGGTGGTTGATAGCTTCGTGGAATGCAGTAAAGGTCACACAACCCACGGTGATAGGTCTCTTAAGGGATTCTTGTCGCAAAAAAGCCCATGGTGAAAGCCTCGTGGAATACAGTAAAGCTCAATCAATCCACGATGAAAGGCCTTTTAGGGGATTCTTGTTGTAATAAAACCAACCCACGGTGATAGGCGTTTTTATGGAGTTCTTGTCGCAATATATCTCAGGGTAATAGCCTCACGAAATACAGTTAAGTTCACACAACCCAAGGTGATAAAATAAACCTTTTAGAGAGTCCTTCTCGCAATGAAACCCACGGAGATAGCCTTGTGGAATGCAGTAAAGCTCACACAATCCACGGTGGTAGCATGGGTAGGCCTCTTAGTGTATTCTTGTCGCAATTAAACCCACGGTGATAGCCTCGTGGAATGCAGTTAACCTCACAAAACAAATGGTGATGGGCTTTCTAAGGTTTTTTGTTGTTGCAATAAAACCAACGGTGATAGTTGCGTGGAATGCAGTAAAACTCAGTAAAGCCTATAGTCCTTTAGTTTTTTTTTGTCGCAGTAAAACCCACGATGATAGCGTTATGGAAACAGTAAAGCTCACACAGCCCAAGGTGATTGGCCTTTGAGGGCGTTCCTGTCGCAAAAAAAGCCATCCTGATAGCCTCGTTGAATGCAGTAAAGCTCACACAACCCACGGTGATAGGTCTTTTAGGGGTTCTTGTCGAAATAACACCCAAGGTGATAGACTCGTGGAATATAGTAAAGCTCACACAACCCATGGTGATTGGCCTTTTGATCGGTGATAGCTTCAAGGAATGCAGAAAATCATACACATCACGGTAATAGGCCTTTTAGAGAGTTCTTATCACAAGTTAAGCCATGGTGATAGCCACATGGAATACAGTAAAGCTCTCACAACCGACGGTGATAGGCCTTTAGAAGGTTTCTTCTTGCGATAAAACCTACGTTTGTTGATAGCGGCAAGGACTGCAATAAAATAACACAACCAACGGTGATAGGCCTTTTGGAGTTTTTTTCTGACTATAAAACCCACGGTGGTTGATAGCCCCGTGAAATGTAGTAAAGTTTACACATCTCACGGTGATAAGCCTCTTAGGGGATCATTGTCGCAATAAAACCCACGGTGATAGCCTTGTGGAATGCAGTAAAGCTCACACAACGCATTGTGATAGGCTTCTTAGAGGATTCTTGTTGCAATAAAACCCACGGTTATATACTTTTTTTACGGGATGATTGTTGAAATAAATCTCAAGCCGATACCCTCATGAAATGCAGTAAAGCTTACACTGTGATAGGCCTTTTACGTAGTTCTTGTCGCAATGAATCACACGACGCTAGCCTCATGGTATGCAGTAATGCTCACACAACCCACAGTGAAAGGTCTTAAGGGGGTTCTTGTCGCAATAAAATCTACGGTCATAGCTTCATGGAATAGAATAAAGCTTGCACAACCAACGGTGATAGACCTTTAAAGGCGTTTTGTCTCAATAAAATCCACATAAATTTTAGGAAAATATATCATATTCCAGAGCCAACCGTTTAAAGACCATTTGTCTGATTCCCATGCGGATTCGATTTTGTACAAATTTGGAGGGTCTTCTTTAAACAGCATAACGCCCAAAGCCATATCCCAAGAAATATGTCCGTGAGATTTCCGCATGCCATGGTCTTTTTATGGATCGGCGATTTGTTTTTTATCTAAATTGTACAAATTTTCGGAAAATACACCATATTCCAGAGCCAACCGTTTAAAGACCATTTGTCAGATTCCAATGCGGATTCGATTTTGTACAAATTTTCAGGGTCTTCTTCAAACAACATAAAGCCCAAAGCCCTAACCAAAGAAATATGTCCGTGAGATTTCCGCATGGCATGGTCTTTTTTTGGACCGGCAATTTGTTCTTTCTCTATATAAATTGTATAAATTTTCGGACAATAAACTATATTCCAGAGCCAACCGTTTAAAGACCATTTGTCTGATTCCCATGCGGATTCGATTTTGTACAAATTTGGAGGGTCTTCTTTAAACAGCATAACGCCCAAAGCCCTAACCCAAGAAATATGTCCGTGAGATGTCCGCATGGCATGGTCTTTTTATGGACCGGCGATTTGTTTCTTTATCTAAATTGTATAAATTTTCGGATAATACACCATATTCCAGAGCCAACCGTTTAAAGACATTTGTCTTGATTTCAATGCGGATTCGATTTTGCACAAATTTGGAGGGTCTTCTTTAAACAACATAAAGCCCA